AGACTTAAAATGTGCAAATTTCGATGTGTGCCAAGAGAAAACACAGTTGCAAAGGATCTGGGAACATAGAAGGAACTAGGAGACTTTCAGAAAGCTTGAGAAGGGCTCTTCTGTAGAAGAGGATCAAGACTCTGTCCACTGCTCTAGAGGAATGGAAGCTCCAGGGAAGCAGGTTCTGTTTCACTGCAAGGAAGATGACACAAACATACATCTTCAGCAGTGGCCCAAGTGGTGCTTCATTCTGCTTCAGTGGAGTTATTTCTGAATGTGTGTGTTATCATTACACTGCTAGGATCAAAGGGAAGAGAGCATAACTGGATGGAAATCTGGGATATTATTGCTATTACTCTCCAGAGAAATAATAACAATCAAAAGGCAGAAGGGCTGGCTGCTGGAGACGGCATTGGAGTTTCAAAACAAAATCCAACCATCTTCCTGGCTGAGGAGAGGAGAAAAACTCAAGGACCCCTCTTGAGGTGCCATTCGTGCTCTACTTTCTTCAAGGAAAAATATCTTACCTATCCAATCAGAGAAGCCAAATGCTTCCACTATAACATGCCTATTTTAGTTATTTTAGAATCAAGATTCTTTTTTGTTTTTGTAAGTTAAGGTAGAGAAGTTGTGGAAGGAAACCTGATTCTAACTATGAACTGAACAGATGGGATAGTGGGAATAAAAACAAATTAAAATGGTATTGCAAAAACTCTCAACTTTCATTTAAAAATATATATGATGATGTTTTTCAACTTTTCACATTCAACCTTTCGGTATATCGAGTGACAAAATGAAAAATCAATTTCAGCTGTGTATATTTTAAACATTTACCTAAATGATTTGGACTTACCCAACCTAAAAGTCCAGATGAATGTATTAAACTGCTTATTGTATTTTTTGTGAATTAAAACTTTATTTTTTTATTATGTTATAGACAGGACACGGTTATGTTTGGTGACATTTACTATAGAAAATTGAACTGAACAGTGGTCTAATTAGAACAGTAAATAGTATGGGTTTAATTAGCCCCTATTCCTGATGACAGATTTGATCAGTCACCAGATATTTATCCTTTCGTTTAACTTGACTGTTACTGAAATATTGCCTCTAGTAGGACTGCTTACTGTGCTATAAATAGGTAGCTTGGCAAGAAGCCATAAAGCCTGCTGACCAGTGAGACTTGAGTGAAAATTATTGGAAAACCCCTTCTTTGCTTCCAGTCATTATTTCTTCATTTCACTTTTGAAGGTCCTTTCCACAGATCCCTCTTTTAATTTAATTTTTTTTTTTTTTTTTTTGGTTAGATGAGGTAACTTGCCTAAGGGCTTAAGGAAACCTGTGCAATATCTAGTTCAGTCACATGCTGCAGTTTATTAGTATGTCAGTTTCTTTCATAAACTTTGCTGTTCTGCAGCTTAGAACTTACCTATTAAATTCTGTCTGACTTGAACTTTTTTGTACACCAAGAATATGTGGTTTTTGTTTGTTTGCTTCCTTGTTTTTAATTAAGGTATGATGTGTTTTATTAAGAAAAGACTACAAAATGCAGAGAAACAGCAATAAAAAAAAATATGCTAAAGTCACCCAAATCCCTCACATGTAGAGGTAGCAACTGTAACATTTTAATTAACCTCTCACTCTTCTCCCTATGCATGTACAAACTTTACATGTATGAAAAATGGTATAGATTTAATATGATTATCTAATGATTGTCTTTTTCCCCACCCCAATATTTTTAAAATGGAAATTTCAAAAACCATGAAAGTTCAAATAGTAAAAAAACTGGCATTTAACAATTTATCATATTCTGGGGGCGACTAGGGAAAATTAAACGTTCAGTTGAAGTTCATTTCCTGTCTTTTCCCAACAACATTCGTTCCTAGTCCTACTTCCTCCATTCTTAGAGCTAATTTGCTATGTTTCCAGCCTATATACCTCCAGCCTATGTACGCGTTCTTTTACTAGTATGTTTTGCATATATATGCCTATGCCTATAGCTTTATCTGTAGAGAAGAGATAGAAAATAATATATGTGTTTTTATTTTAATATAATTAAGCCTATCAGTCTTTTCCTTTATAATTTCTACTTTTATTGCTATATATAGGATAGTCTTTCCTATATACAACTATTGGTATAGGTATATACCAAGATTAATCTATTAATCTATAATATTTCTAATAGTTTATAGTTTCAGTATTTTAACATAAATTTCTAATGGATCTGGAATTTATTTTGGTATATTCTATGAAGAAGTTATCTATGATTTTTAAAAACACAAAACATGCTGGGCACGGTGGCTCACGCCTGTAATCCCAGGACTTTGGGAGGCTGAGGCGGGTGGATCATGAGGTCAGGAGATCAAGACTGTCCTGGCTAATATGGTGAATCCCTGTCTCTATTAAAAATACAAAAAATTAGCCGGGTGTGGTGGCATGTGCCTGTAGTCCCAGCTACTTGGGAATCTGGGCCAGGAGAATTGCTTGAACCTGGGAGGCGGAGGTGGCAGTGAGCTGAGATTGCGTCACTGCACTCCAGCCTGGGCGACAAAGCAAGACTCCATCTCAAAAACAAAAACAAAAACAAAGCAAACAAACAAAAAGCCCACAGAACATTTGTCATGTTGATTTGTGGTGCTATACTATGTCCTTATACTTGGTCTGTTTCTGTACTCTTTTTTTAAATTTAATATGTCCATTTGTTTATTGCTGTGCCAATTCTCTACTCTTAATTGAGACAATTTTCCTCTCATTTTACTTCTTTTACAGTTCTTTTAATTGCATTTAAAAAAACTCATAACATGAGATCTACCCTTTTAATAAATTTTGAAGCATATGGTATAGTATTGTTAATTATAAGTACAATGTTGAAAAGTGGATCTCTAGAACTTTTTAATTTTGCATGGTTGAAACTTAATACCCATTGAACAGTAACTCTTCATTTCCTCATCACCCCAGTCCCTGGCAACACTATTCTACTTTGTGCTTCAATGAGTCAGTCTATGTTAGATACCTCATGTAAGTGGAACCATGCAGTATTTGTCTTTTGTGAGTGGCTTGTTTCACATAGCCTAATGTCCTCAAGATTCATCCATATTGTGGCATGTGATAGACTTTCCTTCTTTTTAATGGCTCCATAGCATTTCATTGTGTGTATACCACATGTTGTTTATCCATTCATCCGTTGATGGACATTTGGGTTGCTTCCATTGTCTTGGCTATTGCAAACATCTGTTTGCGAGATCCTGATTTCAATTCTTTTGGATAAATACCAAGAAGTTGGATTGCTGGATCCTATAGTATTTCTATGTTCTTTTACAACTTTTTAGTTTTTTTTGTTTTTGTTTTTGTTTTGTTTTGTTTTTTTTTTTTGAGACAGTGTTTCGCTCTGTCACCCAGCCTGGAGTGCAGTAGCACAATCTCAGCTGTCACCTCTGCCTCCCGGGTTCAAGCAATACTGGTGCCTCAACCTCCCGAGTACCTGAGACTACAGGCATGTGACACCACGCCCAGCTAGTTTTTTGTATTTTAGTAGAGATGGGGTTTTGCCATGTTGCCCAGGCTGGTCTCAAACTCCTGAGCTCAGGAAATCTACCCACCTCAGCCTCCCAAAGTGCTAGGATTATAGACATGAGCCACCACGCCCAACCTTGCTTGGCTCTTAAAGATATTTATGCCACTATATGAACTTTAGAATCATTTGTTATGTTTCAAAAAATGTTTCTTTGGGGATTTTGATGGGACTTGATGTAAACTTATAGATAATCTTGGAGAGAAGTAGCATTTTACAGTATTGAGTCTACTCATTCAGGGCTATGGTTGTTTCTTCATTTATTCAAGTATATTTTAGGCCCCTTAATAAAGTTTTGTAACTTAATAATAAGCTTCATTTCTTTTCACGTCTATACCTACATCTATCTATGTACTTTTTACTTGTAATTTCCCCTCTTCTCTGTAGTATTCTGAATTAAGTCATTGGTGGAAAGTCTAGGAGACCAGTTAAACCAAACTGTACTCATAATTGACTCTTTGCTATTTTCTTGGATTCGAAACCTTCATGACTTGGCCAAGTATGTTTGTATGACTTTGTTTTATTTGTTTTCTATGAATGGAGGTTCCACAAAACCTTATGCAAGGTTTCTTGGGAGTTACCGCCTGTCTGCCTGACGCACAAGCAAGCCAGCATTCACTCATGAGCTCTTCTTTTTTTTTTTTTTCCTGAGACAGAGTCTTGCTCTGTTGCCCAGGCTGGAGTGCAGTGGTGCAATCTTGGCTCACTTCAACCTCCGCCTCCTGGGTTCACGTGATTCTCCTGCTTTAGCCTCCTGAGTGGCTGGGATTACAGATGCGTACCATCACACCTGGCTAATTTTTGTATTTTTAGTAGACGGGGTTTAGGCTCAAGTGGGGTCCCTGCTATGTAAGTTAGAAAGCAGAATAATATAATTGATATTTAGCCAACTTATTTAAATTCAGGACTGATAAAATTTTAGATATAATACTGAGCTGAAAAGCCATCTCCACAAAACCTTCTTAAGATGGAAAGGCATGTATGTGTCAACTGATTTTCATATAAACTTGTCTTTTTTTTTTTAATGCGATCATTCCAAAGCAAAGCATTTTTCGGTAGCATTGGTCTTTGTGAAGAGCTTAGAAGATGACTCTGGATTTGGGAGGCTGAGGCGGGTGGATCACCTGAGGTTAGGAGTTCAAGACCAACCTGGCCAACATGGCAAAACCCTGTCTCTGCTAAAAATACAAAAGTTAGTTGGGCATGGTGGCAGGCGCCTGTAATCCCAGTTACTCAGGAGGCTGAAGCAGGAGAATTACTTGAACCCAGGAGGGGGAGGTTGCAGTGAGCCGAGATAGCGCCAAGATTGAAACTCTCTTTCAATTAAAAAAAAAAAAAAGATGACTCTGGAATAACTGGGGAAGCTTTGGGATATTTCTACCACATTCGTCTAAATTTATTGTGTGTGTGTGTTTTTTGTTTTGTTTTTAACATCTAGACCTCAAGAAACACTCATTCAGATGAAGACAAAGATGGCAACTGGGATGCTTGGGGCGACTGGAGTGACTGCTCCCGGACCTGCGGGGGAGGAGCATCATATTCTTTACGGAGATGTTTGACCGGAAGGTCAGTGGTGGCTTCACTTGCTCCTGCATGTGGAATGTGTCAGTGCCTCTGGATGGGTGGAGAGGAGAGATAACTTTATTTGGCTTTGGAATGTACTGTGATAATGGTATAACATTTCCTTTGTCTAAATATGAGTCAACCTCCGGTTCACATATTTCAGCAGCAATGATCCCGTTTGCGTGGGTGTGACCATGTTGCGCACAGGACCCAGGAGCACCAGACACTTTGGGCTTTGAGGAAAGGAAATCCTGGCACCTTAAGTCACTGATTTAAAGTTGTCAAGAGTTGGGGCAAGAGGTCAAGTCTTCTGAGTTCTGCCCTTGGGTTGCTGCAACTTAATCCAGTTCTTGTTCATCTATTCTGAGCAACCCATTGATTAAGAACATGATGCAAGTTCTATTTTCACATTTTAGATATGTTTATGTTAAATAGCATTTGCAAAAATGTAAAATCAGCTTATTTTTAAAAACCTGTAAATTTGTAATAAGCCTGTGCTTATCATTGTTTTTGAGACACTGGAAGGTAATTCTTTATGGGACAGTTTAATTCCCAGTCAAGGATTTTGCATCAGCTCTTAGGTAAGACAGAGACCCAGATTGATGGAATCTGACGTTGTAGTCTTGTACAAAAGAAGATTCCAAGATTATGTCAGTCATCTTCAGATTTGGGATATTGTTAGGTAAAAGAGTAAATTGGCCTTTGCCAATTAGCTTCAAGATATAGAGTAGAAATGCAGGGAGAGCATATTTTGGCTCGAGCTTGTATTTCATTGAGGTCACTGTTTTACCATACATTAAACAGTGACCAAGTATGTCCTCCAGTTTTCTTGAGACAATGCAGAGCAGGGCAGATGAGGGACTGTACATGTGGCCTTTGAGAAGAAAGACTCACTGGTCTACTTCAAGAAGGCATGGGAAGGCTGCTGGAGGTACTATAGTAGCATTCCCCTAGGGTGAGTTCTAACTCAGAGCATGGAAGCTTCAGTAAAGTATTGTAGAACTAAGTCCAGGGATTTTCTTGCAAAGACAAAGTGTTACGTCTGCCTCCCCATATTTCCACCTTGGTGAGGAGATACAGGCCCTGGTACTCTGTGTCATGCTGTGTGGAAGAATGATGGAGTATCATGTTGTATTGGGATATATTTATTCTGCCAAGGAGGCTGCAGTAGGAGAGCTACACCCTGTGGGCAAGGGGAGGGGACTTTTATTTATTTATTTTTTTTGAGATGGAGTCTCACTCTGTTGCCCAGACTGGAGTGCAGTGGCGGGATCTGGGTTCCCTGAAACCTCTGCCTCCCAGGTTCACACAATTCTTCTGCCTCAGCCTCCCAAGTAACTGGGATTACAGGCACCTGCCACCATGCCTGGCTAATTTTTGTATTTTTAGTAGAGATGGGTTTTCACCATGTTGGCCAGGATGGTCTTGAACTCCTGACCTGAATGATCCATCTGCCTCGACCTCCCAAAGTGCTGGGATTACAGGCGTCAGCCACCATGCCCAGCCAGGGGGCTTCTTATGTAAAGGGTAAGTTCTTTCCCACTGCTGGCCAGCCACATGGGGGAGAAGTTTCCAGCCTGGAAATGAGTGGGGAAGGGAGAACTTTGGCATCTCTTTCCAAACTTCAAGTCTGAGAAGTCTGAATAATTTGCAATTAGTGGTAGGGTTAGAGTGGGAAAGGAATGGAATTTATCTGCATTGGACTTTTTGTTTTTCCTAGTACATACTTGTATTTGTTAAAAACAATTTAGAGGACTATATTAAGGACCATGAATAACCACTTTCATCCTATTGTCATACAACTAAAATGTTCACATATTTATTATTTAGTTCATTTAAAAAATTTCTTTGATTTTGCTTGGAACATAATTTTGCCAAGTGATATATCTCCAGAATGCTTGTGAGTTTCTGTCTTCTGTTTCCTAACTGGGCCCTGCTGTTGATGAAAAAGGCTGCAGGTAAGGAAGGGCAGTTGCTCAACTTCTTCCATCTTTTCCACTCGTATTCAGAAGGGGAGACTTGGGTAAAAGGAGAGGAAAGGGAGGCAGGAGAGTTCTTAGTTGACTTTATTGTTGAGAGCAGGTATTGGTGCTCTCTGTTTGGCAAGTGTCGTAAGCTGACTGTTGTGAGCACTTTGATGGATTTTCTGAGAACTTGCCTTTGCCCTCCCAAATTCCCTGGGATTTCTTGCCTCCAATTCCCTTGAAATGTGCTATTCACAACACTTTGTCTTGGTAATATTGCTCTTTCCTCAGCTCTGGGACTGCTAGACATGCCCCCAGCTTCTCCCTATTTACATGTGCTAACCCCTCTGTGGCCATCCTGGTAAGTTCCTAAGACAACCACATGCTGGCACTCATGCACGTGCCCACATCTGGTTCACAGGAAACCCTCATGTAAAGTTTGCTAAACAAACTCTTCAAGTCCAGGGAGCCAGTGCTGCAACACCTACTCTGCTTACATGGGCTGCTGCAGCTGTTCTCTCAGCCCTTAAATTTCTCAGGTGTGAATTAAATACCAACCGACTGTTGGCGATACATATTGAACTCTTCAAGTGGTATCCTTAAAATTTCTTCCTCTTGATTTGGGGTTAGCAGACTGAAGCCCTCATCCCTTCTCCTTGATGGAGTAGAATGAGAGGTAGGCTCATAGCATACCTTTCTCAATGAAATCTTCAGAAGTTCTTCTTGTAAGTCTCTGGCTCCAGATCCTTTTAATTCCCTTGATGTGGGTAAGGAGTTTAACTCCAGTGAATTAAACTAACGCATATCCTGCCTTCAAGGTTCTTACATCTAAAGAGACAAACAATAAACAAGTAAATAATCAAATTATATATAATTAAAAATCATGTCACTGGCCAGGCACGGTGGCTCACACCTGTAATCCCAGCACTTTGGGAGGCCGAGGCAGGAGGATCACCTGAGGTTGGGAGTTTGAGACCAGCCTGACCAACATGGAGAAAACCCATCTCTACTAAAAATACCAAATTAGCTGGGTGTGGTGGTGCATGCCTGTAATTCCAGCTACTTGGTAGGCTGAGGCAGGAGAATTGCTTGAACCCAGGAGGCGGAGGTTTCAGTGAGCCAAGATTATGCCATTGTACTCCAGCCTGGGCAACAAGAGCGAAACTCTGTCTCAAAAAAAATATATATATAGTGTTAAGGCGATGCATAAAATGGTCAGGGAAGCCCTCTGTGCTGGGGCATGTTTATGCTGAGACCTTACTGCTAAGAAGAAATCAGTTATGTGATGGGAAGGGTTATGAGACCAAAAGAGTTCAAATAGTGGGAGCAGCATATGAAATATCCTGAAGCAGGAAATGAAAACAGCTTTTTATGCCTGGCGAACAATTAGATAAGAGTGAGCAGAATGGGCAGTCCCCTGCTGACTGCCACTGCAGACAGAGCCTTGGTGGGCATAGAGTCAGCCAGCATCCCACCCTGGGCTAACACTGTGCAGAGAACAGTGGATCCTGCCCCACCCTGAGCAACCACTCTTGCTTGTAGGGCACACAGAAGGCACTCAGACCTGCACCTGCCAGTGCCCTGCCCCCAAGCCAACACCACCTCCAGCATGACTGTACACACAGTCACCAACAGGGCCTCCCACCTACCCCTAGCTGCATTGCCTCCACCACTGTGGTGAATGCCTACAGGGAGGCAGGACCCCCTGAACCTGCTAGCACTCCACTGTAGCTGCCACTACCTCTGCTGCTGGTATGTACAAATGAGGATGGATCCCGCTGTCATCGTGCTATGAAATGCTTTGGCTGACATGAGCCATCAGAGTGTAATGACCAGCAGTCCAAAAACACCTTGGCCCCCCAGTGCAGTGGATTCCTGACATCAAGGAGCCAGAGAACAAAATGGGGGCCCAATACAAGTACCCCAGAATTAGAACATCCAGTCCAGGTATTGGGAGCTGAGTGTTGGCCCCCTAAAATCTTTAATAAATGAAGCCAGTTGGCTGAATCCACCTTTATACTAGAATCAAACCCTCAAGGTCATCAAAAAAAAAAAAAAAAAAAAAAAGGATAAAAGAAACAAAATTATGGAAACAGTCAGCAACCTCAAGGATTAAAAGAAGATAAGCCCACAAAGATGAGAAAGAATCAGCACAAGAACCCTGACAACTCAAAAAGCCAGAGTGCCTTCTTTCTAACAAATGACCACCTTGCCTCTCCAGCAAGGGTTCTGAACCAGGTTGAGGTGGATGAAGTGACACAGAGTTCAGAATACGGACAGAAATGAAGATCCTTGAGCTATAGCAGTATGTTGAAACCCAGTCCAAGGAAGCTAAAAATCATTATAAAACAATACTGGAACTGGCAGACCAAATAGCCAGTATAGAAAAGTATGTAACTAAACTGAGGGAGCTGAAAAACATCCTACAAGAATTTCATAATGCAATTGCAAGTATTAATAGCAGAATAGACCAAGCAGAGGAAAGAATCTCAGAGCTTGAAGACTGGCTTTCTGAAATAAGACAGACAACAATAGAGAAAAAAAGAATGAAAGGAATGAACAAAACCTCTGAGAAATATGGGATTATGTAAAGAAACCAAATCTATGACTTATTGGTGTTCCTGAAAAAAAGGGGGATAATGGAACCAACTTGGAAAACATTTTTCAGGATATCATCCATGAGAACTTCATGGATGAACCCAACTAGCTAGAAAGGCCAACATTCAAATTCAGGAAATGCAGAGAACCCCAGTAAAATATTTCCCAAGAAGATCATCCCAAGAGATATAGCCATTAGATCCTCCAAGGTTGACACAAGAGAAAAAAAGTTAGAGAGAAATGTCAGGTCACCTACAAAGGGAAGTCCATTGACTAACTGCAGACTTCTCAGCTGAAACCTTACAAGTGAGAAGAGATTCTGGGCCAGTATTCAACTTTCTTAAAGTAAATTCCAACCCAGAATTTCATATCCAGCCAAATTAAGCTTCATAAGTGAACAATAAATAAGATCCTTTTCAGACAAGCAAATGTTGAGAGAAT